ATCCTCTGCTGGTGGTGGTAGGGCTCATTGTGTTTTATCTGCCTTTATGCATATAACTAGTGATTTTGTCAGTAATTTTGTGACAAATGAATTGATGAATTGACACATGTATGTGTCTTTCATACTGAGTTGGGTTTGAAGGTATTGGTAGTACTCTATTGGAACCCCCTGCCAAGTGTGTCTCTCAGGTAATAGAAGCTTCAGAAATTGCCGGCTTGTACTGCTTTACTCCACCAGTGGCTTGGGAGCATTGCCAAGGCTCCTTTGCTCACTTGGAGCGCTGGGCTGTGTGGTGGAGGTGGACACTGTTTTTCAGGTTGCGCAGTACGAAGGTGATAAGGGAGTCACAGGGAGAGTCACCAAGTACTTGACAAAACAAAAGGGGAGAGTGGGGGTGTTGGGAGATAGAGATCACTTTGTGAAGGAGATAGGGCTGCTTCATGGAAAAGGTGACATCTGAATAATTCCTGTGGGTGGGGGCTCAGACAGTGAAGACAAGGGAGCACATTTCAGCTAGGGGCAAGTTGGGATCAAAAGCTGGATCAGGGGAGGAGAGTTCAGTAGGCAGAAGGTGAAGGTGAAAAGTAGCAGGTAAGAGTAGACTGTGACACTCTTAATGCAGAAAGCAAGAAGCCCAGTATTTGCTGGTGAGTCTGGTGGGATCAGGGCGGCAGAACTCTGGAGCAGGACCTCTGTAGCCTCTGTCCATAGAAGGGGCAGGGAGGTACCTGCTGAGGCCCAGGATGTGCAAATGGCATGGAGAGGTGTTTTGGAAGGGCCTGGAAGGTGGCAAGGACTCGGCAGCTGGTTGACTAGGAGGAGGTGTGGCTTGGGCACAGAGCAGGTGTCCAGGGAATGCACTGTGAGGACAGCAAGGGACAGCACAGGGGGAGGATGCCAGGAGCCAGGTGGGCAGAGCTGTGGCCAGGGGGCGCCTCTGGGAGGCAAGTGTGGAACAAGAGGTAAGGGGCATGCAGAGATGAGGGATTCCCACAGGGCCCTCCTGCTCAAGCTCAGTGGAGAGCCAGGTGTGCCTCCATGCGGAGGTGAGTCATAGCTCAGGCTTATGATTTGTCACCAGTCACTTCCTATCATCCACAGATCTCACCTTCAACCAGGCCTTTCATGCTTAAGGTTTAACTCTGAGGGCCGACGATCCCTGCAAGTTGCAGCAGATGGCACGGTGCCTTGGAGGAGTGTCAGGGCACACAACAACATTGAGCTGTTTGTCCTGAAGTAAACGTTACTGGAAAACCTATTTCTGCAAAGACAGTCATTCATAGGTCACTTACTTGGCAGGACCTGCTGCTGCTGCCGCCAGTGTCACCACACATTGCAATAACATTTTTGAGTGTTTTTGTCTCTAGAAGTTTCACGTGCAGAGCTGTATCTGAAATCACCTCCCATGCTGCCAGAGCTTATTTACAACAGTGGTGCCAAAAACCAGTTTCCTGTACTGGAGGGTGAGAGTGAGGGGTGGTTCTGGAGCCCTCTCTCTTGCCGCTCCTGTTCTGGGCCAGGGTCAGGCACAGAAAGGTGTCTGGAGTTCATTCCTCCATGGGGAATCTTGTGAGGCCCAGGACCAGGCTTGTGCCTGGAGGTTCTTCCAGGCTGGGGCTTTCCAGCTTCCAGTTACTTACATTTGATCTGCCAGTGCTTCCCCTGCTGCCCTCCAAGTGTGCCCAAATGTGCCAGGAGCATTGGGATCCACCTGATTAACACTGAAAACATGAACTAGCTTTTCTCATCTTCTTGATCCAGGGAGAGCAAGAAAAGAGGGCACCAAGGCTCTGCTGCTGCCTTTTTCCTGTCCCTTTCACCCACTCTCAGTGCCTTTGCTCCTGGTCCACACCCATATACCCCACACCTGCACTCACACCCCTCTCACACACCCTTGCCCTTGCACTGGTGTCTTCTCTCACACCCAGCAGTTACTCACGTGCCTTCCCAGCAGTGAGAAGTCCTCACGCCGCCTTCATCCTGTCTCCATGTCGGGCACCTTCTGTGGAGAGCAGCGTCTGGGCTCCCCACAGCTCAGCAGTGCTGAGGCAGGGAGCGGAATAGGATGTAATGTTTTCTTTTCCTTTTTTCTTTTTTATCTTAAAGAGAAAAAACAATTTTAAAACAAGATAATAGGTGGGTAATAGTGGAAGTGATGTTTTCTTGAAAGTGGTTCCATCATTGATCGTTTTCAGATGTTTTTTTCTCTATTACAGTGATTGTCTTTTCACAAACTTCATAGCTTAACGGGGTAAGATTGTTACTATGGAAACTACCGCTCTAGTGCCTTCAGCAGCTACCTACCATGTGTGAAAAGAAATTGCCAGGAAGAAGGTAGGGCTAAGCAAGGCTGCTTTTTTTGTTGTGCCAGCCAGGTTTTAAGTGAAGGTTAATCATTACCAAATGTCCCACATGCTTGCTACTCTTACTTTAGATTCAAATGGAAATGAAAGATTTCTTTCTTGTTTTTTAGATTCAGAATATGAACAACATAATCTCCTTCCCTTTGGACAGTTTGCTGAAAGGCGACCTGAAAGGAGTCAAAGGGGTGAGACTCTACAATCCTGCTCATGGGTACTTCTGGGTTACCCCAAGTCACAGCCTTTCAGTGGCTTCCACACCAGCATATCCTTCCTGGGGCCACAAAAGGGTTTTCACCCTCTCTGTTTCCTTTGATGTACATGTTGACACTGCTTTTTCGCCTGAATGGTGGTGACTCTTGGCCTTTTTGGTTGTGCTGTTGGGGCTGAGAACATCCTAAGGGGTGAGACAGGGCAGAAGGGCAGATTAAAGAAACCTGGCCCCTCAGCTGAGCAGGAGAATCCTGGGAGAAGGAGGGTTTCCAGTGGAGAGAGGGTGCTGTCAAGGATGGTTTTCCTTTTGGGAAAGTCAGGCTTCTCAGAGCATTCCATTCAGGATAAGCCTGACCCCCCACACAGGAGCACACAGACTGGGACCTCGACCACACCATGGTGGCGGGGGAAGGAGCAGCCTGGCTGGAGGGGTCTTATCTGGGCACACACATGGAAGCCCCACCTTCCCCATCCTGGAGTGTGCCAGGAAAGAACTGACAGTACTCCAAAGAGCATTGCCCTGTCTCCCTGAGGTCATCCAAAAACCCAGTGGGAAGGGTGCCAGGCAAAGGAGGGGCAGGCGCAGAGTGGGCATGTGCTCCAGCTGTGGGAATGGAGGGCAGGAGTGGGTAGGCCAGCTTGAAAAGCCAGAAAAAGAAGGTTTCACACTTCTGGAAGAACCCTCTTCAAGTGAGAGTAGCTATGTGGGAACCAGTGATAGGACTTTGAGTGGATTAGTAATTTTTGGAGCCAGGCTTTGTGAGAGTTTGAAATCCTAAATACCAGAAAAAGGAAGACACACAAAAGCTCTAGGATATTGTGGTGGCTCTTTGATTGTGACTGTTGGGCTCAAATTAGAATATGGGCACCGAACAGATCCATTCAGAACCTGTTTCATGTAGAGAGATAAACTGAAGTATTTATAACTAGATGGTTAGCACATTATCTAGGTCTCTCTACTTTCTTGTACATTTGTTATATTCTCAAATAAATATTCTATAATCCCAGCACTAGAAAGGCTGAGGCCAAGACTAACTGTGAATTTGATTGAGTGTGGCCTGGTCTATGTAAGGAAACCCTGTGACAAAAGAGAGAGTGATAGGGAGAGAGAGACACAGACAGACAGAGAAAGGCTCCACTTATCTAAGTTAAAGCCTGTGCTAAGGGTTGTTTATTTTCCATGGGATTCTATATATCATTTTTATATACTATTTATTACATGTCAATGCCCATTCAGGACCAGCCTAAGGATAAGGAAATTTATCTTATACAGGTTAATGATTAGTCCTGCTTAATTACTGCCTCTGTTTACAGGATTTGAAAAAGCCCTTTGACAAAGCTTGGAAGGACTATGAAACAAAAATGTGAGTATTTCATTTTTTAACTGAATGTCAGCACAGTAATTTGAGATTTCAACTTTAAATCTAACTTTGATTGCATAAAGGGATTGTGTGTGTAAACCTTAATCCCAGGAAGGATTTACCTAAAGCTGTGTCACTGTGGTTGCTATGAGGACAGGTGCTTCTGTACCTGGTGGCTATATCCAAATATGGTGGCTTCTTTCTCTCAGTTCCTTTTTCCTTTGGAATCATAGTGGTTACAGAATGTAATGTTCAAGAAAGTTTATGAAAGTAAGTTGGATTAGTAAGCTTCCTAGCAATACTCTATACCTACAATTTAAAGGTGGAAAGGCTTATTTTGGCTCAGGTTTCAATCCATGGTAAGCCACTCCAAGGCAGACTGCAAGGCACAGGAGCCTGATGGAGGAATGCTGCCCACCTCACTAGGACAAGAAGGAGAGAAAAGGGAAGAGCAGGGAAATGAACCTTTCCAGGTCATGCCCCTAGTGACCTCCTCCTTTGGCTCCACCTCCAGCATCACATGTAGCCGTAGAGTCACTGGTGGGCCAGTGCACTGACCTGTGAGCCCATCACCTCCCCAGAGTTCTCTTCTGAGCACATAAGGCTGCTCTGGGGGCATCTACATAGAAACCATAGCAGAAGTCAAGGCCAGTTTGTCTCAGGTGGTGGGTTTGTTTTTGTTTTTTTCTTGTTTTAGACAATTTCTCCATTTTATTACCATTCATGACAGCAGTGTTGTCTTCAGACTTTTGTCTTGGTGATTTGTGAAAGCCATCTGCTTTTAGCTTTGGGACTGTCTTTCTCTGAAATACCAACTCCCTCGGTTTTAGAAAGATTTTGCAACACCTGTCTGATGGCTTCATCTGCCAGAAAAGAACGGCATAGTTCTGAAGAACAGGCACAGTTGACTCTCAAATATGGATAAGCTTGCTCCCAGCTGGCTGAAGGCTGTTATCCGAACATTTCCTGCAGTTTCTCATCTCGGGGGTGGAGCTGGAGCTAGAAGAACTGAGTTAGTAGTGATGGGATTAAGGCTTTTAGTTATTTTAAATGCTGTTAGAACAGAAAGTATTCTTAAATAACTCATGTTTACTTTATAAACTCTGCTTTGGGGATTGGTGACTTTCTGAATGGAAATAGCTCTCATTTGAAGCCATCTGGTAAGGAGAGAGGTGTTAGGAAGGACGTCATTTGAGATGACTCTTCAGTGTTTAACTCCTCTTTGAAAACCAGCCTTGGGTATCTTTTCAGTAGGAAAGGGTCACAAAGCTCAAGCTAGTATGTACTAAACCTTTGATACTCATTCTGTCCCTGGCATAGTGTATCTATGTTACAGGATGCTTGGACAAGAGGGCGGAGTTTCATGGATGGGGCGCATTCCTGTGTTGGACTGGGGGTGAGGGGGGTGTTAAAGCCAGGGACCTTAAAGGTCTGCTCATGCAGAGAGGAGCCCTGCCTTATCCTGCCCTTTCATGTCCTGAGTCTCTGGCTGGCATTCCCACTTCACAAATGGGAAAACGAGACCAGGAGGTGTGCTAGTCCCCTACAGTGAAGGTCTTTAGGGGATACCATGAAGACAACTCTTGAGAGCGAAGTTAATGCCCACATTAAAAGAATAGCACCATCCCAGATAAATGACCCAGTGATTCACTTCATCATCCCAGAAGAACAGTAATCTAAATCTAAAATTAATAGAAGGAAAACAATTATTTAAAAAACTGCAAAGGATCAGTGAATCACAGTTAGTTGTTTGAAAAGATAAACAAGATTAATAAGTCCTTAGCCAAACTTACCAAGAAAGGAAAGAAAAAAAGCCTATCTTAATTTAATTAGAGGCTTTGCCAGATAGCTCAGTTGTTTAAAGCGCCTCGTGGGTAAATGCAGGCAAGCACATAGGACTGCAGTTCAATTCCCAGCTCCAGAAGCTTTACCAGACCTGCAGGTTTTTTAAGGCACCCTGAAGTAGACAAAAAACAAACAAAAAAAACCTCCTTCTCAAATTTGGGGGTTGGAGAGATGACTCAGTAAAATAAGCACTTAGCTGGCAAATGCAAGGTCCTGAGTTCAATCCCTGGTACCACACAAAAAAACAACAATATAATTAAAAATGAAGAAGGTGAAATTGCAGCAGAAACTGCCCCCAAAATCCAGTGGATTTAAAGATACTACTTTGAAATTGTATATTCTGATAGAGAACTACCTAGATATATACGAATTACCAAAATTGAACGAAGAAGATATAAAAACCCTGAACAGACCAATAACAGGCAATAAAATAGAGATAGTAATCAAAACTAAGTCCAGGACCCAGTAGATTCCCCAAAGAATTCTGCCACACTTCAGGGAAGATGTAGGCCAGTGGCTTCCTGACTCTTCCGTGAGGTGAAAGACAGGAAACAGTGCCAACCTTTTCCCTGGAGTTACCACTGTTGCCATGCATGGCTTCCTACCAACATCCACAGCCGTCAAGCCCCAAAACGCGTGGCAAACGCTGGTTGCAGCAACTCGGTCTGGGGTGGCTAGAGACTGTCCCATGCATGGTACTGCCCCAAGGGGCCTCTTGATTATCCTTGCTTCTCTGTGTCTCCCACCCCTAGAACCAAAATAGAAAAGGAGAAGAAGGAACATGCCAAGCTCCATGGAATGATTCGCACTGAAATAAGTGGGGCTGAAATTGCTGAAGAGATGGAAAAGGAACGGCGCTTCTTCCAGCTTCAGATGTGTGAGGTAAGGCATAAGATAGGCCAGGTCTGCACTGTGGCTGGCAGTGCGTTCTGAGCTACTCACTGGTGGGTCAGACCCATGGCCTCCAGAAAACCTAGTCCCCAGGGGATTTTTGCTCTCAGTGGACCATTTGTTTTGCTAGGGAGGGGAGACTTGATTTTCTAGAGGATGGAATTGAATTAATCTAATACTAGGGGCTGGAGAGATGGCTCAGTGGTCTAAAGCACCTACTTGGAACTAGCTTAGCAAAGCATCAGGGACTGCGGTTCAATCCCCCAGCACCACATGCCAGCCAGCCCTGCCCCCTGGTGGGCTGAGCTGGCCACACAC